AAGTACTTTTGCTCATTCCTTCTCTAGAAAGGGTAGTATGGTGGGGGGTGGGGTGGGGGGGCGTGGGACTTCCCTTCTTCCTGCTTTAAAGAAGAGGTTGGAAAGGAGTCGAGGACAGTGAGAAATACCTGATCTTGATTTCATGTATATCCTTATCCGCTATGGTGTAGAGCATCCTGTAGTTTTGTAAGTCAAAGACCTTGTATATACTGCAACAGAAAAATGGAAAAGAATATTACAATTGATGGTGGAATCGTAAGTAATCAATAGAGTTAAAAATCATTTTTATGAAGCGCGAAATACCTATCCTGAACTGAGTACGTTAGAACCTTTCCATTTACATCATCAAATTCAACAAAGCCAGGCCACTTCAGGGACTCGGACTCAAAAAGTTCGAAACCAGCATCTGGGTCACCTTGCCGTATGTATCTAAATATTCATGTATAGGAAATAAAAATATATATATAAAAAAAAAAAAAAGGTACTAAGAATAGGGCACAGGTTAAATCAGCTTAGAATTTGCATGACAGAGAACCACATAGAGGTACGCACTCAATCCTTGTGGATCTGCACCTCAATGAACTGAAGTTATCCGAAGCAAACACCGAAACAGTGATAAGCGAATCGTTGTTCTTATTGTAAAACAAGCTTCTTATAACTTCATCTGGACTAGTATTCATGAAGCATACCCTCCTATTCACCACTGCTGCCCAGAAAGGGGGGAAAAAGCACTCAATAGTAGCAGTATTAAAATAATCAAGTTCAAATCCAACTGATATCCAAGGGAAAAACGGAACTTTTTCCAGGTACCTCTACTAAAGGCTGCACATACACCAGATTGCGTCAACGAAAAAACAATATCCCGTGCTGCGACTATCTCAACAACTTTCGTTCTCTTCATCAGGAAAGGAATTACTAATGAACAATGCCCCTCGGGATTATGAGTATCGTATTCCTCCTGGTGAAAGCCAGAGATATATGAGTACACAAAACCACCCTATTTGCACAGCACTCGCTTTATTCCATCAACGAAACCTTCCATTCAATATCGACTTCTTTTAATTCTGAAATTCAGTTATAGTTTTTCCTAAAAGTTTAACTAAACCTTCCATCTATCTCATTGTTAAGCTAAAGTTTAACTAACCCTACCAATATTGCAGGAAGTGATCAAAAAGCTTGAGTTTTTGTAATGACTCATTTTTGAACCATTAACATTTAGGTTATGGATTCAAGCTAAAACAATGGCGGCTTGTGTATGGGGTCCCACCGGGGCAGAAGATTATCAATTAAAAATTGGCAATAATTAGAAGTGCAGCCTAAATTGATAGTAGAGAGAAATGGAGGGAGCAAACCGTGAGGCGCATATTGCGGAACTTCTCGTGGGCATTAGTGAGAACAAAGGCGGCATCTCTGTGCGAAGAAATCTCGCGCCTTTGAAGCTTCCTGACGCTGTTGAGCAGCCCATTATCCGGCGCTCCTCCTCCTCCGCGGCGGCGCTTCTTCAACACCCCGCGAGACCGCCCGCCCGGGCTGGCACCTTCCATACACACACACACACACACACACTCCCCTTGCTTTCAATTCTCCCCCAACTGATCAACTCTCACTTGAATTGGAAGCTCGCAATAAGGGCAAATACCAGAAGCGGCAAAACGCCCACTTCGCCTTCATAGAAAGCTGCAGAGCAATGGGGAATTGAGGATTTCCAGAAGGGTGCGGCACGTAAAAGGTGTAGGAGTGAAAGAACAGGAAGGAGGTCGCGAAAAGCCACAGATTTTGGAGTGATCTTTTGGGCTTCTTTTCCTTTTTATTATCTTGTGTTTCTTCAATTGAATTCGGTGCTGCAACAGTAAAGATAGAGTGCAGCCTCCCTAAATTATGTCGTTTCTTCTTCCTTAGTATATTTCCCTTTCGGTTAAGCTTAAGCATATCATCTACTACATTCGCTAAGTGAGAGCCGTGCACCAATATTTTACAGAGATTTTTTTTTTTTTTTTTTCACAAATTTGAAGAATTCTACTTCATTTGGAAAATGATTTACATAAAACAAACAAGAGAAAATAACATTTCTCAACTTTTAAAAAATTTACTTTTTTGAAAATAATTTCCATCCAACCAGACATGTTTAATTTATTCATATTTAAAAAATAAATGAGAATTAATTTGAATATAGTACAAACTTAAATCTCATATAATTATGACTTATTCAAGATATCTTATGGTCTCGCTTTCTTCTTTTATTATTTTTTAATAATTTTAAATTATTTTTTTAATAATACTTTTAATGTAATTTATAAATATATAAATTTTATATATTAATAATAAATTTAATATTATGAAAAATTAATTGTAAATAACTTAAGTAAAGACTTGTTAATTGAACCAAATACATAAAATAGGACAGAGATAACTATATATTTTTAAGTGTATTTTTATACTTTACAAAGTTATATGTTTTTCTTTAATGTACTTTTTTTTTAACAAAATACAAATATAATCTTTAATATTCTAATTTGATACGAATATACTATCTTTACTTTAAGAATTCATTTTGAAAAAGGAAGAAAATGAGCAAAAAGGAAATCAATCTATAATTCTATATATTTATAGACATTTCCAAACTACATGTTTTTAGAAATTTCCAAACTAAAGTATTTAACTTTTAGAATAAGATTAATTTTTAATATTGTTTATAAATGTTTAATCAAATAAAATTAATTTGAAATTATCTAAAAATATATTGTAAAGTTTTTATAATAAAATTATATTTTGAATCAATGACCCCACCATCAAGGTTCAATATATCTTTTGAGTTTTGACCACTCATTTGGAATGATAAATAGGTGTCATCACATTACATATATATTAAAATAAAATAAAATGTAATATAATTATAACCAACCATTAAAAAAAATCTTTAAAGTAAATATAAACTACTTTATTACTTATTTATTTTTAAATTTGAGCTAATAATCAATCTTTTTCTTTTGAATGCTACTTACTCTATTACATTGTAGTATATGTTCAAACATACTTTCTCAAAGCAACAAAAAATTAACAACGCCTCCACTAAGATTTGATCTCATGACCTCCTACATAAGAGAAGTCACTACATGTCATATGAGTACAATGTGCTTAATAATCAATCTAATATTGTATTCTTTAAAATATATATATATATATATATATATATATATATATATATATATATATATATATATATATAATCATTATGAATTTTGTAGGGAATTAGTTTATTACTCCGTAACAATAAGGTGTCAATTTGTTTTTTAAAAAAATTATAACACGGATTAAATTAATAATGCAGATATAAAAAAAATAAATTTATTTATTTTATCAATATAAGAATTTATTACATATATATGACGATGAAGAGTGGGAATCATTGATTATTCAGTGTTCTTCGGAATACTTAATAAGAAGCTGCCTTCTGCGAAAAAGTCAAAGATGCGCGGCAACGCCCCGGCATGTTAACTTGTTAAAATCAAACATTTTTAAAAATTTTGTTATAGAAAAATATATTTACACTGTCATGGCTCTGTTTGGCAAACTTAGCTGAAAGCTGAAAAGGAGCTGAAAGTTGAAAAGTTATAAACTCTGTTTGGCAAAGCTTATTTAAGAGGTTATAGCTTATTTTAAGCTACTAATAAGCTATAAGCTCGGTTTAGTAATGTTCCCAAAATAAGCCCCTAGCTTAAAATAAGAATTTATTTTAGAACACTACCTTAGGTATCGTTTTAAAATAAGCTCATAGTTTCCTGTTTTTTTTTTTCATCTTTATCCTTATTATTTTAAAGAATTCACATAATTTACCCTTCCCAATTAAAACTCTTTTCTCTTCTCCTTTATCTGCAACTTTCACCGCAAATAATAATAATAATAATAATAATAATAATAATAATAATATTTGCGGTGAAAGTTGTGGATAATTATAGGGACGTTTCCAATTTTAGTCCATCTTAATTATTTTTGCCACTTTATAACCACTATTATTGAATGTGTTCCACTTTTAGTCCCACCGTTAGTATTTCTATCAAGAGGTAGTGTAATCTAGGGGTATTTTGACATTTCTTCTCATCCAAGGCTATGTTTGATTAAAGAAATGAGAACATTGAACCTAAAACCTAAGAAACCTCGCCGGCCCATGTTGGAACGAACGAAACGATGTAGCTTTGGCTTCTCATTCTCGTTGTTTGAAGAGCCATCTTCGAATATCGGGGGAGGAGGAAGAAGCGCCTGGATTAAAAGAGAAGAGACAAACATAAAAAGACCAAAATACCCTTTGATTATACAGCCTATTGACAAAAATATTAATGGTGGACTAAAAGTGGAATACATTCAATAACAATGGTTGTAAAGTGACAAAAATAATTAAAGTGAACTGAAATTGAAAACGCCCCTATAACAGTAGGACCAAAAATGGAATTCACTCTTATCAAATATATAACATGCATTTTTTTATATATGTATTGGTTTTATCGGGTTAACCTAATAATATAAAATCTAAACATATGCGCAAAGGTTTTTCTTGTGAATAATTGAATACAATCGGTACAAATAATTGTTAAGCATTAATTCTTAACATGCAGTCGTATATGGACTAATAAACAAGATAGTTACAAATGTCATATTAACATTATTCGGCTAAAGATTAAAAAATTCTAACCAACGACACTTTCAAAGATTGCATTATATAGTAAAATTTTATTTTTGTAATAGTACGTGACGCCCGCACGTTCACTCTAATTACCCACTAAAATTTGGTCTTGATACAAATTGATAAAAATTAAAGAAATGAAAAATAAAATTTAAAAAAAAAAACAAAAATATTTCCTTTCAAACAAAAAAAATCCCTTTTTATGCGTACGCGCAGTACCCATAATAATTAGTAATTACTCGGATCCGTATCAAATATTGGTGGTGCGCGGCATCTCTACTCGTTTTCCTCTCGATTTAAACTCCCCTTAGCTTTCATCTCCTCATTTATTTTCTCATCTTCTCTGATCTCTTCTATCAATCTCTCGGATCGATTCAATATCCATCAACGCCGTAACCATGGAAACAGACGGCGACGCCACCGCAGCGCAGTCCCAATGCACCTCCGGCAAAAAATCCATGACCACCTCCACCTCCTTCCGGCTGCGGAGCCCCAGCCTGAACTCCGTCCGCCTCCGCCGCATCTTCGACATGTTCGATCGCAACAACGACGGCATTATCACCGTGGATGAGCTCAACAAGCCGCTCAACCTCCTCGGCCTCAACACCGATCTCTCCGAGGTCGACTCCATGATCCGATCCTTCATCAAGGACGGAAACGACGGCCTCACGTTCGACGACTTCGAGGCTCTCCACCGCTCCCTCGACAACGTCTTCTTCGGCTGCGACGAGGCCGGAGAAGACGGCGAGGAGGCCATCTCCAAGGCGCAGGAGGAGACGGAGATGAAGGAGGCGTTCAGAGTGTTCGACGAGGACGGCGACGGATTCATATCCGCCAGGGAGCTCCAAGCGGTGCTCACCAAGCTCGGATTGCTGGAGAATGGCAATGAGATCGATAGAGTGCAGCAGATGATTTCTTCCTACGATCAGAATAGCGATGGCCTCGTCGATTTTTTGGAGTTCAAGGATATGATGCGCTGTGTCATCCACAAGAATAATTGATCGGATCGATCGATCGGTTAGACCGTACCAACTCAATAACCATACAAATATATATATATATATATATATATATATATATATATATATATATATATATATATATATATATAAATTAAACCAAAACGCCATTATATTAATTAAACCTAGATTTACATACACTATATATTATATTGTTTTTGAATTATTCATTATTTTTTTGTAAAAATTTTGGATTTATTTGATTGAATTGTTTTTGTTTTCACTGTTTGGTATAATTTGGATAGATTAAGTGAAAATACTTGATGTATCATCGCTCTAAATGTTTTATACACCAACTAGGAATTGAACCTGAGTTTATCATCATGGCATTATAGAAATAAATTTAATATTAGTTGAGTCATTTAATTTGGTGATGTGCCATGCATGTTAAGCGCTTTGAATCAAACTTTTCATCCAGCAAAGTCAAATAAGAAAGCTATCAAATATTTAAAAAGGAGATGGCTGGTGAGGGTAGGTCAAAGAAAACCAGAAACCTAAGCTATGCTGTCCTTTCAAGCACCAGCCTAGCAGTTTGAATTGGTAAATGGTAATATATTTTCAAAGATATGAATACAAAGCATTACAGATGAATGAAGGAGGATAGGATAGGAAAACCACTCCATACAAACCAGTAAAGAGATAGACGTACTCTTGAGCTAACAAAATAAAGTTACCTATCTCATCATGCATAGTACCACCCAAAGTTGAGACCTTGCCGCACTAGGAGAGAATCGGTTTTCACGTGAATAAAATCTCGAACTCTAAGATTTAATTCAACTTAAAGTTTTATGAATGACCATTGCCTCAGCTTCTTTTGGTACGAGTAATTCTTTCCAAGGGGTGCCTACAAATTACCTATCTCACCAGGCACCACCCGAACAAGACCCATATTGCCTTTATTCTTATTTCTTGTTGCGTCAACGTTCAATTTGATCCATTTCTCAATGAACGGAGGATGCTGGGAACTAAGGATGTTCAGCAACTACTATTTTATGTTCTGCCCGCGTGTTAAAATAATAAACATTTTAGAGTAAGATAATGTATTTTGTGTGTTATAATAATGTATTTTATGTGTTAGAATAATGAAATTTATGGAATAAGATAACATATTTTATGAGTTAAAATATTGTATTGTATGTGTTATAATAATGTATAATGTACTATATGTATTAGAATAATGTATTTTATGTGTTATTGGACCGTAGTCCACACAACTGTGTGAACCATAGTTTACGCAATAATGATTCTCACTCCATATAACCATACACATTGGGCAAATTATTGTGTGGACCATGATCCACACAGTGTTATGTGGACCATAACAAAAAATACATTTTTAATATACTAAGTGTACATTATTTTGTACTGAATGTACATTATACAATATAATGTACACTTAGTACAAAAATAATGTACATCCTTGAATACAATGTACATTATTTTTGTGCTGAATGTACATTATTTTTGTATTGAATATACATTATTTTATTGTATACAAAATATGGTCCACACAACTTGTATGGACCATGGTCCACACAAACATGATTTTACACATTGGGATGATTTAGAAGAAGATAAATTACTTAAACGAGACTCAGCCCAAGTCCAATTTAAGGTCCAGATTCAGAAGCCCAACTGATTTTCTCACTTTTTCCATCTTGCCCTTCAACCAAAATCAATCATTTTTCTTCTTTATGTTTTTTTTTTTTTTTTTTAAACGAAGTCTGGCTGTTATATTTTTATTGTTAGGTGGTAAAAATCCTACGCAGTTCAAAAAAATGTGAACGCTAGTAGTTCGAATCGTACTAAAGATTAAAAAAGAAGGTACAAATTTGGTATATATTGTTGTGAGTATTAGCGTATATATGTCATTTAAGGACCTATAAGTTGTTTTTTTTTTTTTTTTTCTAAAAAAAGGACCTATAAGTTAGTTGAGCTTTATCTCGTGTTTTATCACCTTAAAAGAAGTTTGGGTTCAAACTTAAAATAAATTAATTGAAATTACAAGAAAATTCGCAACTACTATCCGAAGTTGCACTCTGCAGTGAAACCCTCTAACCAGCAAAGGACTCAACTCAATAAATTTAATAATATATACAACTCTCATGGAAATCAAACTTAGAATATTGTAATTTTTAAGTCAGTTCTGTGACTAAATTAAAATAAATTATTAAATTTATAGTATATAGTTAAATTATAGGGGTTGAGTATATAAGTAGGAATGCATATATGTTGTGGTTTGTGAAACGTGTGAAGCGAAAAAGCAAGGTTATATAGAAAGATCGTCCGCTAAAGCAGGTTGTTTATGGTCGGGCCATTTCGCGTTGATACTTGATAGTTACTTCCCAGGAAGAAATTAAGTAACATTAAATAAGTTGTTGAACATTGCGTAGGTGGCTTTGCAGTTTACGACAGTTACCCAACCTTAAAAATAAAGTCCCATCGAAAAAGACTAGCGTTTAGACTACACCGAATAATTCTTTTTTTTTTTTTTTTTTACATTTTTGGTTCCGCGAATATTTTGACACTAATAATGTAAATTCCTAACTCTCAAACCTTGCACAATTGGTCCATAAGTATTAAATTTTTTATAGCAAAAATGGTATGATATTTCAGATAATTTTTCACCGGAAGTAAGCCATTTTTCGATAAAAAATTGTCGAAAATGTCACCAAAATGACCATTTTTGTAAAAAAAAAAATAAAAAATTTGATACCCATGTACCAATTATGCAAATTTTTAAAGTTGTGGATTCACATTGTTAGTGTCATAGTACTCAAAAGTGCAAAAAACTCTCCTTTTTTGCTATACATCAAATATTTGATAAGAATGAAGATATTTTTTTTTTTTTTTTGAATGCTACTGGTTCTATTACAAAATAATATCTATTCATATACTTTCTCAACCTAAAAGCTCGAACTCATAACCTTCTGAATAGAAGTCCAGCCCAAGTACCATTAAACCACATAGTCTTGGTAAATGAAGATATTTAAATTTAGAGAAGAGCTTATTTCAAAAGAATATCCTGAGGAGTATGAGAATCCTCAGACTTAATATCACTTTACAATCACTTGCAGAGCAAATGTTGGTATTAGTTTTTTTTGTTTTTGTTTTTTTTTTCGGTTCATTTTAATTTGTACATGTAAGCATTGAAATTTTGAATAGACGATTACATTATTGGACCTTGTTTGACGAGAATTATTAATGCATGATTGGTGGGATTTACATTCCTAATTTAGATTGATGGGTATTTTAGTTGGTTGTTGAGGCGTTGAGTTGTATAAATATTTTGAAAAATAACGTGTAACCGGTTTGAAATACACTTTACGCATGGTAATATTACAATTATCGTGATTCTTTTGATTTCTTTACAAATTATTTACTCCGTATTTCAGATCGGTAGTATTAGCTAGAAGTCGATTACTTTGATCATAAAACCAACGATATTAATTTCAAATCTTCCTTTATTTGTGACAAAAGATGGAATCACCCACCCTAAACGCCCTTACATTTCAGTCCGACAGTTTGTGGATGGGTTAATCATAGTGACTCAACTGACCAACTAATACTAGACCTTTTACACACTGCGCACAAGGTTCATTTTGAGAGGTTGCTCACACACTCGGTGCTGATAAGACTCCATCATTCATCTCACATTTTTTATTCAATTCTTTTATTCCTTCAATAAAATTAATACTACATATGGCGGGAATTTCACTTTCAATTAGAATCTACTTTATCATTTTTTTAGTATGCTTTAGAATTTTAACATATATAAGCACGTTGGGCAACGTGGCGTGTCTAATATTTATGGATCACTAATATGCATATGATGTTATGCCAGGCAGGCTATACATAATACAAGCCACCAGAATCTTAAGATAATCATATACATATGGCGCATCGCATCATGCATTATAATATTATATTATGTAGTGTACTAGTGTCTACGTGGCTCTTCATATAATGATTATTTGTCATGTGATCTGTTAACTCTTTTTTTTTTTTTTTTTTTTTTTTTTCTTTTAAATGTGAATTTCTACTTGTTACAATTATAGAATGAAGGGAAAAGGGTCAAATAGGCCCTCAAACTTTAGCTTAAAAATCAATTAGGCTCCTAAACTTTTCAAATGTGCAATTACACCCATCAACAATCCAATTAAGTGCATTGAAGCCTAAAAACAAATTAATGACCTGCTATCACAGGTCATTAAGGTTCAGGGCACCTCCCGGCAAAAAAAAAAAAAAAAAAAGAAGTGACCGGCGAAATTTTCGACAAAAGAAGTGACCGGAGAAATTTTTGGCAAATCTGGGTCGGTTGATGGTCACATTTTTTTTGTCGGCAAATTCGCCGGAAGGTGGCCTGAACCCTAATGACCTGTGATAGCAAGTTATTAACTTGTTTTTGGGCTTCATTGCACCTAAATGAATTGTTGATGAGTGTAATTGCACCTTTAAAAAGTTTAGGGGCCTAATTGACTTTTAAGCTAAAGTTCGAGGGCCTATTTGACCCTTTTCCCTAGAATGAATGTTGATTAAATATTTATTTTGTCCGGGTTTAGCTCAATGATATAGTATGCAATATTTGAGAGAATATACTGAGATTTGAATTTTGGCGGTTTTTTTTTTTTTTTAAAGCTACTGACTCTATTACATTTTTACATTGTAGTATCTGTTCATCTATACTACTTTCTCAACCTGTTGAAGCACAAAGAGTACTACAGCATTAAAAAAAAAAAAGTTTGAAAGATACTAATTTACCTTATTGTAGTTTAGCACTAATAATCTGCTTAGAAACTTATAAATGATTTTTGGAGAAGCATTTTTTATTTTTATTTTTTTGGTATTCCACTGAACGCCAAATAAAAGCTCTCTCTTTCTCTATCTGTGAAATAATAAATGTAATAACTTCAAATTAAAGAAATTAATATTTTTAAAAAGTATAAAAAAAAACTTAAATTTTTAAAATTTTTGGATGGTATGACAGACTAAATTAAGTTTTGTTATTGTTCGTCACAACT